AACCTAAAAACTTTCCTAGAAATAAGATACATAATACAAACCATTGTATATTGTAATGCATACCTCCTGTCGTTGGTTAGATACACTAGGCATCCTTAAGGTCAGTGAGAGTCTTATGTACTTCATGATCCTCTACATAGTACTGAGAACACGTGAAGTTTGATGTGGTGAGCTATTCTTCTGTTCAGTGTTTGGCGTTTTCTGTAATCCATATCTGTTGGGTTGCTGTAAGGGAATAATAAAGCATATCCTTAGGAAAGGAAAGGAAGAATGAAGAGAGGCTGCTGTGAAAGTAATAGTAGAGTTGGAACACTTACTGCTGCAAACACTTCCCTTTCCATGTTTGTAATGTTTAAAGTAATACAAGTTAATGTTCTGAAGCTGAAGTTAGGCGGTATAATGCTTAAGTAATGGGCTGATACAGAAAAATATTAGCTTGCTTTTGTGATTCGTAGTTTCTTTTGCCTTTTTGAAGTACGCGTTTAGAGTTGATACCAACATTTGATGAATCATAAGGGGATATTTCTAATTGGAAGTTTCTGTTAACAAGTGGTATTAAATTTTATTATACATAAACTTTTAAGAATTATAACTCAAATAATAAAAAAAGAAACAGTTGCTAGATTAAAAATCATTTGTCATTCCGTGAATCACTTCAATGGCGGCTTTCATGCCAGATTTATATTAACCACATTGTCTAACAAGTAAGAGTAACGTGTGGGGGTTTTTTTGCTTCCTTTGGTTATCTAAAGTATTTTGATTGGAGTGTCAGAAGCTGCATTTTAAGACCTGCCTGAATATTGGCATTGATGAGGCTAATGGGAAAAGGAAATATACTCCCTGGGTTTAAAGAAATAAGAAGAAAAGTTGGGCAAGTTCTTTAGCTCCCGTAATGGATATCCCCATTCCTGTCCCTTCTCCCTTTTAAGGCAAAGCTGATGGACTAACTTGAAGGTTGATAGGCATTTAATATTACCTTTTACCACTTTTACTTTGTTTTTTTTTCCCCAGATGGCTGTTGATCAGGCTCACAGGCAGAATTTATCCTCTCTCTTTCTACCAGTATTTGAATCTGTCAACCCTTGCCTAATCTTAATGGTGCGAAGAGACAATATTGTAGGAGATGCAGTGGAAGTCCTAAGGAAAACCAAGAACGTAGACTACAAGAAACCGCTCAAGGTATTATCAGAATATATTGCTCTAAGTCTCTTTCACTGACACATGCAAGTAATTAAGAATATTTTCAGGTAAATTTGTTTCGCATTCCATTTTTAAGACTCTGTGCTAACTGAAGTGTATTTCAGGTTATTTTTGTAGGGGAAGAAGCTGTTGATGCTGGAGGTGTTCGCAAAGAATTTTTTTTGCTTATCATGAGAGAGTTGCTAGATCCCAAATATGGAATGTTCAGGTATTATGAAGAGTCCAGGCTCATCTGGTTCTCTGATAAGGTAGGGTCCAATCTGCAGTGATGAATTTTCTTTTTCACTTAAAATATTTTATATGAACAAAGTATGTATCTAGTAGTTTGTGGTAGGTTTCTTCAGGAGGAGAAGCTGAAATAACTAGTCTGAGAAGGTATTTGTTTTTGTCATTGCTGGATCAAAATTTTCCTTTTTTTTTTTTTCTCCCCAGCCCCCACTTACTCCTTACCAGTTTTCCCCAGCTTAGACAAGTTTAGTTGGAAGAAATGCCAGCCAAAGTATGCAGATTCCAAGAGCAGAAACCGTAGATCAAAGTTACAGAGAAAAATATGCTGGAAGTGGCACATTGAACAATTCTTTTTGTATTCAGTCACATGAAAGTTTTTGATCATTGGCTTTTTGATTCCTTCTCAGAGGCTAACACCAACAGGGGTGGCTATGTCACTGGTACCTGCCTTAAAATTTCCACATTTGTGGGTTTTTTTGCCTTAGCTAGTAAGTCCCAGGGAGTCAATAATGAGCTCATACTCATCTTTTTTTCTTTAAAAAAAAAAAAAAAATTTAACTGAATAATAGTGATAAGTCACTGATGAAAAAACAATCTTACTGCAGTATTTTCAGCAACATACAGTACTTAAAACGTATTTTATGCTGCCAGTGTCTCAGTGCATCTTTTGTTTTGGGGGTTTCTGGTTTTAGGAGTAGGAAGAATTCTGTCTCACTCAATTGCAGTCTCTCACTCAGGTGGTTAAAACTTTATCATGTTTTCTTCAGTACTAACGGTCACGTATCTATTCATAGAAAATATAAATGAAGGATACTTAGATTATACTTCACTGTAGTTTATTTTTATGAACTCTGTAAGATTAAAATAACTTTGTTTTAAATTATTTTAATTCTCTCTTTTTTCTGTTCTTAGACCTTCGAAGACAGTGACTTGTTTCATTTGATTGGCGTTGTCTGTGGGCTAGCAATATATAATTTTACTATTGTAGACCTTCATTTCCCATTGGCTTTGTACAAAAAGCTGTTGAATAAAAAGCCATCCCTGGATGACTTAAAAGAGTTGATGCCAGATGTTGGCAGGTAAGCATGAAGGAAAAATGAGCAATTCTAGGAATTTTAATTCAACACTTCTAAGGGTTAAACAAAATGTTTAGCATTCACATTAACAGGATAAACAGTTCAAAGTAACTTGCAGCCTTCCTGCCGTTTGAGATAGGATTCATTCTGTTGTTAAGCACCTGCTTCTAAATGCTGGGTTTTCAGTCTCTATCTTCTGCTTATTATCCTACAAGAATTTTAAGGGAAAAAATTTTTGAAAATCAAAAAAAAAAATTCAGATATTAATTTTATAAACATAAAGATGAAAGAAATTTTAGTTCTGGGCAACTTATTTAATCTAATGAGGCAACATTTTTGCTTATTTCATGAGTAAATGCAGGCTTAAATATCTGCCCTGGAGTAGGGATTTGAATAGAGCTAATAGGAAGTTCAAATGGAGGGGGTGGGGAGGAAGGGGGTGTTTCATTGTCTCAGTGGTGTGCATGCTGAGTTTTCATAGGTTCAAGGAGAAATTGAATAGGTTAATTGGAAAGTCTATCAATGATTATTAAGCACTTACCACCTCTAGCTTGGGAATCCCATGGCTGGGAGCTAGAATATGAATCGTCTCTTTTCGTGCCGGGAGATAATCAAAAGGAATTAACTCCACAAATAATAGTGAAACAATTGTTTCTTTAAAACCTCTGCTTACCAGAGTTTAAAAGCAGCACGAGTTGCTTGAAATTTCCAAACTGGGCACTGCAAGGCAGCCAGCTAATAACTGGAATACAACAGTAGAAAGAGATTTTTTTTTTTTTCCTCCTCCCTAGAATTATGAAAGGATAAGGAAAACTTCAGAAACATAAGTTAATCTTTCTTCTCACTAATACAAATACTTCAATTTATTCTTCAGGGGTATGCAACAGTTACTGGACTATCCGGAAGATGACATAGAGGAAGCATTTTGTCTTAATTTTACTGTAAGTTTTAAACATTGCTGTTTGCAGTATTTTTCAACAAGTTTTACAGTATTACAACTGTCTCTGATCAAGTTTGTGAGCAAAACAGCTACTGATCCCCATGAATTTTAGCATTTTCTACTTGTGTTAAGATCAGCGTGCCCTTCATGTTGCTGTGGCTATGTGGAGGGAAGAAGTCCTCTAACAGTAAATAAAATCTATATTGTTTTTATTTGTTTTAACTAGATCACTGTGGAAAATTTTGGTACAACAGAAATCAAAGAGCTTGTTCCTAATGGTGCTGACATTCCTGTAGTAAAACAAAATAGGTGAGTTGTACGGGACACAGGGTAGGTTCAGTGTTACTCTCTGCTTTGGGAATGTACCTGGGCTGTTACAAACGTACTTAGCCAAGTTGTTACAGTAGTGTTGGAGGAAAAACTACTTTCATGTGTATTGTTAAAACAGCTTTTACGTTTATGAATTTGCCAGCTGTTCAGAGACTATGTAATTCTTCTTGAAATGTGTAATATTTCTTTTTTGCCTTGACCTCTTCAGGGCCCGTTAGGACCATGTTATCTTAATTTTATGACACGAAAATGGTTGTGGTTTTGCAGGAAGATAGAGTACAATTAAAATTTACTGAGTAAAAGTGAACGTCTTATCCTGATGCCTTTACGTAGCAACTCTATGTATTTGAAATACAATTTCAGGGAAGGCTTTCCATTGTAGAGCAAGTAAAATCTAATGCTAGCTAGTGTCCTTGTCAAATGAGTATGTGAGGGGTGGTTCCCCTCTTTCTCCCCTCCCCTCCAAACCATGGATTCTGTTACTTCTGTTTAGGAGCCCCCCACCACACGTTGTTTCCTTTCTGCGTTTGGAGGATGGGCAGTGTGTCTAGTGGCGCATTTGTCCCATTTTGCAGAGTGCTTGCCGGTTTCCTCTGTTCGTTCCTCTCTCGTATATTTATCTCTGTCCGTTTGTTAATTTTCATATCTTCTCTGGGCTTTTGATTCTCTCCTCGTTCAGGGAGAAGTAAACAGAGAAGGCATAGTCTTTGAGAACAGATCGCACGGCTGTGCGGTTGTAGGAACAAGGGAGAAAACGTACCTCTGGGCATGTTCCTGCTTATCCTTGTTTCTGTATTTTGGGCAACTTTTTCTGTAACTAGGTCTGCCTTAGAGGAAAGAGGGATGACAGAAGATTGAGGGGGTATCATAAGCACAAGCATAGCTCTATGCAGTGGCAGTGCCTCCCACAATGGAATGATTTTTATCCTCCTGACTTTTCGTTACTGGGAGAGATAGACATGGGGTTGCAGCTCCATGTGTAAGGGCAAGACTGAGTATACTTCAAGAAGGGGGAGAAAAAAAAAAAAAAAAAAGCCCAGTAAGCTACTTACTTTTCTAATGATGCTGGTACTGTTCCACGACTACAGTCACCACCTATATGTGTCAGTTGCTTTTATTCTTGGCTGGTAGCTGAGGATCTGTGGTGCTTTACCTTAAAAACCGTAGCTTCCAAGTTCTCTGGTGGTTTGGTGCTCTGTTGCAGAGTGACTATAAAATTGGAGTTAAAATATGAAAAAGCTTTAGTGTGCCCTTGGAACATATGCCACAGTGCTGTCACTAGCTGTCTTGGGGCAATGAAGTGTTCCTGTTTCTCAAGATTCAATAGTAGGGCTAATTAGGTTCTTGTTATGAATTTCTCTCTGGAGAACCCTTAGCCTTCACTGTGGGTATACCCAAGTTACCTGTCTCTCCGCTAATTATATAGCGTGCCTAATGACAGGTGTCTCATTGGGTGCCTAAAGATAATGTGATTCACCACTCTTTTTCACTCATCTCCAGTATTTTCAGTTCTGATGATGTACTTATTAAAATTGCTGAACATGTTCAGAGGAGTCTTTAAATTATTTGTGATGCTATTCATGGTCTGTGAATTTGCGCAAAGAAAGTCACTCTGAAGCCATATAACTGAAGTTACTCTGATGGAAATGTAGAAACCATATATTAACTAATATATATGTGTTTTTTCCTAATCATAGCCATAGCTGTTATATCACATCAATGAATTTTAGTAATCCCCCTAGCTACTATGGAAGAAGATGAACGTTTCCAAAAAGACACGAGAATTCCTTGTGCTGAGGTGCAGAGAACGGTCTGATGTTCAGTAGCTTAGCTCCTTTGCCCTGATCTTTTCACTGTGTAGGACTCCACATGTCCATTTGAAGATAACTGGCGTTTTGAGTACACGTATGGTAATCTTTTTAATTAAGAAGTGCAACAGTGCTTCTGAATAATCAGTTTCAGAGCACTGCATGGAATTCAAGCCTTCAAGCCTGTTGCCATTCACTCCAATTCGCTGCAGTGCATACAAACAAGAGAAATGCTTGTAGTGCCTGAACGAACATAAAATGTTGCTGTTTATCTATTGCACACTGCAGAATCTGTTTTCAAAAAAAAAAAAATTTGCATTTGTGTGCCATTTTCATTCAGCTTATCTTCACTATGTCTCTAGCAAGGACCAGAGAATACGACATTAGAAATCTTTAGCTTAATTTGCTATGCTCTGTTTTATACCTAAGTGATTACTGTTTTATTGCTAGGAGGAGGACATGTACCGTTTTTTTAACGTGATTACTTTTTTCTTTCATACAGGCAAGATTTTGTAGATGCCTATGTGGATTACATCTTCAATAAATCTGTGGCTTCCTTATTCAGTGCATTCCACGCAGGCTTCCACAAAGTGTGCGGAGGCAAAGTTCTTCAGCTCTTCCAGCCCAGCGAGTTGCAGGCAATGGTGATTGGGAACACAAATTATGACTGGAAGGAGTTGGAGAAGGTAAAACCATAGTTAGCCGTTTGTTTCATATATTTTTAATTTCAAGATGCAAAAGCAAAATTCCTGAAATGTCCTTTCTAGCTCTATTTTCTCCATTAATATATGACTAACGTGACTTTTAGCCTTCATTGGATTGTCTGCCTAACTGAGGGATTTTTAGTTACTATCAGTGAATGAAGGCACTAAAATATTATTTGCCTTCCTACTTAGTTCTCCCTTCTAGTTTCTGAAGGCAATTGGACTTGGGGGAAGAGAAAGGAAGAAAAATTGCCTTGAACTGTGAAAGGCAGCTTATACGGTATATTTTATTAGAAGGGAAAAAGTGAACAAAAATGCACACATTTAATTAAAAGAAACATCCTTGGTAGCTGAAACTCAGATTTTATGTTGCGATTTTTATTGGGATTGATAATGCTTTGGTCTAATGCACCTGTACTCAGTCAAAGTCGGAATGAAAAGCTGAACAAGTGATAATATCCATATATATTCTATAGAGAGTTCTCACCTGATGCTTGTTTGGAGTTGTATTCATAAATGCCTATGTGTAGTTAACTGGGTAGCTTTTGCGGTGAGGATGAAGTTAAGGATTTTGCATAAAACTCACTAAGGAAAATAGTATCAAAGTCACTTACAATGCAGTATCCCTTTAAACAAACCACATCCCTTCTGCTTTAATGTCAGATGATTCAGATTATCCTACTAGTTCTACATAGGAGGACTAACGTCATGTTATGTTCATTTTAGAATACAGAATACAAAGGAGAGTACTGGGCAGACCATCCTACAATTAAAATATTCTGGGAGGTTTTTCATGAGTTGTCCTTGGAGAAGAAAAAACAGTTTCTATGTGAGTATTTAACACTATTTTGCAGAAATTGGTAACTGAACAGGATCGTTGTGGTCTCAGGTCCATATTTTAAGAGGCTGAACTTAAGTGTTTGTCTATGTGAATAACTTTACATGGAGGAAAAAGTAGCAATAGAGGAAATTGATTACAAGCTTGTCTCTGATTTTGGGGCGGTTGTCTTGAATAATTCTGAGTGTGGGGAGATTTATAAGATCGCAGTAAATCAAAGTGGGATTAAAAAAAACAACAGCAAAACAGGAACCCAAATTGCTAGTGTCGCTTACCTGATGTCTAGGAGTTTTTTCTATGTGTTTTGGCATCAGGTTCACATCCTGCAGTAGTTGCATCGCACGTGGATGGAAATATGGAGGTGTAATTGATCATAAATACTAAGTTAC